CAACAACAACAAAAAGGCTACAAAATAACAACAATAAACACACACTTACACACACACTCGCACACACCAGCAATACGCACAACCATAAACAATAAAACGTTAAATTGCTTTAGCGCTGACCAAAATCGAAATCAAAATAAAAACAAAAACAAAATACGCAAGCGCAAACAAAAGACTTAAGCGACAAACTCTTTTAGGGCAGACAACTTTCTCAGCGCTTGAAAGAATTTCGAATTGTGCCGCATAGAAAAATACGCAAGAAATGTGTAAATATCTGCATTCTGTTAAAGATACTTACGAAAACTTGTTTAAGAATGGATTTTTACTTTTTTATTGCTATAAATCAAAGTCGCGTCATCTGCTTTTTGACCCAGTTAACCAAATGCGAGAAGACCCGAAAATTATGCAGAAATCACATTTGACGGTCTATCTATTTAAATACGTCTTTATATAGATGTGTTTATACATATTTGCACAGTTTTATTTTTGGATTTTGGGTTTCTTGGCACGCATTTATGCTAGGGAGCGCGCGGGAAATTCTCAAGGTGTTGCTGGCCGAACGTGTCGAGCTTTTGTTGAGGCAGCGCTCTACAAATGGAAAAACTTAAATCAAATGTAGTGTGTGCATGTGTGTGTGTGCGTGTGTGTGTGTTGTGGCGTCAATTTCATAAGTTTTCAAATCGTTTTAGTCACAGCAACTATAACATTAACAGATGACATGATAACGCATTTATTTTGACATTTAATGTCAAGTGGCCAGCTGATTATGAAAACTCAAAACTGAAAACTGAAGTTGAAGCTTGCGCCATGCTCATTAATGAATTTTGAGACCCTTGGGATGCTGTTGTTATGCGATTATGTTGTACAATATTTAATTTTGTATCACTTTTTGCATAATGTTGGCTTTTGGTAAAAAGTATTTTTAGACTTTGCAACTAATGACTGTACAATGGCTTAAGCCACATATTTTGAGACTTAAAGAGAAAACTATTTTAGGCCAGTTTATCACATTCTAAAAATAGCCAAGTGGGGGAAATCAGAATATTGCGTCGTAATGAAAGCGAAATTGTGGCCAGTGAAAGCAGGATTATCAAAATGCGAGTGCACTCAAACGATAAAATGATAAGCATAATTAAGATGGACAGAGAGAAACTCTCTAATAAATAGACACACGTTAAAATTTTTGCTGCAAATGCAATGACAGCTCATAGATGAAAAATGGCTGTGCACAGAAAAATCCCATGTGATTTTAAATAGTACACTTATGAAAATTATTCGAAGAAAACGTTTTGGAAACATAGCCAAAGGCACATATTAAAATAAATAAATAATGTAAATAAATCTATCATAAGGCTTCTATTCCATTTTTCATATGCAAATGTTATTAAATATATCAGAAGTCTTCCATATCCATATATAATTTTGAGCACAGGCCTAACAACTAAATGAATTTCGATAGATTATACAATTTGTATCATGCTGCATGCATTTTTCATAGTTAATTCATTAGTTTTAATAAATATACTATCTTTAATTTTGGTTGATGCTCCCCTCTGAATGCAAAGCAATGTATCTTCATCTATATTTATGCTAGCTTACCGCTTGCCTTATTTAATTTATGGGCTTCAATTATACCCAACTCGAAACTATAGAGATTTCCCTTAAATATATAGCAGTTTTTTTTTACAAGAACAATAAATTCGCCCTGGTAATCATGTTTCTATATTGTTAGAAGGCCGGCGACTTCTTGTTACTAAAAATACACAAAATGGCCTTATGGCAGCAGGGATCTGACGAACCGTTTGATAAATAAAATATTATAAAAGAGTAAACAAAGACAATTTAATTTGTTTGGCTCAAACTAAAAATATATATGCTTAATTTTTCTATCAAAGTTTGCAGGCTTTAGGTATATGTTCTTTGTTCCGTCTTACATAGTTCCGTCTTTCTGCTGCAGGCAGTACATGTGTCGATCCCGGCCAGATCGGACAACCATATCATATAGCTGCCATAGCAACAATCTATTGAAAAGTAGGTTCTTAAATGGAAAACTATTTTGCTTATCAAGATATGTTACCAAACTCATAAGTTTCACTATGCGCCTCATTTAGATGCAAAAAATCCTATCAACATCGGACCAGTTTATAATAATGTTGCCATATGGACGATCAGTTAAAAAGTAGCTTCCTGTATGGCAAAATAAAAGCTTTTTACATTTTATATATCGCAACTTATCTTAAAATTGTTCTTTTAATTAATTCTGAGCAAAATAAATGTGAAACTTCTTTAATACCAGAACTATTTAACAGATAGCTTCTATATAGTTAATACAAAAATGAAGCAGACGAGTGCTAAAAGCTGTTAAAAACGTGTCTCCTATTTGCATAACTTTTTAACTGTTATTCTGCGAATGCATGTATTATGCCAGCAGAGACAACTTGGACTTGAGGTGCTTTGGCCCTGCTTTGAACTGTGCACACAAGAGTTGGGTGGGGACAGCTACAAAAAAAAAATACTCATTTGTTGGCCTTTTAACACAAATATAAATATTGTGGAGCACACTCAAGTCGTTGGCGACTGTTGCCACAATACTCCTTGTATGTTTGGCGCCCAACTTGTTTATTAAATCACTTTGACATAATGAACCGTTATGCCAACAATGAAAAAGCGCTACCAAAGTCTTCACAACAATAAACACAACAACGGCAGCGGTCCAGTCCAGAGAGCTGTAACCTTGACTGAAGCAAATCCAAAAAGCCGAGACTCAAGTGCCTGGCTATGGGCGTTCATGTTGTAATGTCTGTGTTGTTACAATTTTGGTAAAAGTGCAGCGTCAGTTGTCGTTGAACCCGTAAAAAAATAGAAAGTTACTTAGTGTATACTGATACAGATACCGATGCAGATGCAGCTGCAGATACAGATACTCGTGCTACCATAGATAAAGATACATTTGCCACCTTCCATGCTTAGCTGGCTGCAAACTCATTATAGCAATATTTAGTTGGCGTTTAGCATGCAAATATCAAGTCGTAGAGTTATTTACAGCTTAATCATTATTGAACGAGCATTACAGCTAGCTGTTAACGTGCCTAAAACTAGCTGCTTAACAGTAGCTGACTTAACAGACAACTGATTATTCCTACACACACTTTAAGAATAAGATGCGCGTGCTGTTATAGTTACACATACATATACTTCCATATTAGGATTGCTGTAAACTCATTAGCATTCAGATACTAGATACAGCTGTATAATTATTGTACGCTGGAACTTGTCGCTAGCTGGCTTATGGCAGCTGCTTAACATTAGCTCACTTATCAATCAACTGTTTATTCACATACACACTTAACAGAACTAGATAGTTCTGATGCTATAGTTACATTACCTTCATGTTAAGTTTACTAATTTAATTTTTGCTTAGCTTGCGCTTATCACCCAATACCATAGTCATTACAAGTACATTAAAAACTGTTAGCTGGCTTAACAGTAGCTGCTTAACAGTCAACTGTTGTTCATATACACACTGTACATTCTACAGCTGTAGCTTAACAGTCTCCCTGCTGTCTCGTATTTGGCCTAATGTATTGTGGATGCTTGTGTCTTCCTTCTTATTGTTATTGTTTTTGTATTCTTTTTTTTTTTTTGTCATTAGGCTCTGTCTTGGGCAATTATAATGCTAATGTTTCTATTCATGTGGAGTACATAAAAGCATTTTGCTTAACGAAATTCATTAAGCGATGTGCCCATGCGACATTCTGTGTTTGGCATGAGTTATTGCTTAAACAAATTGCGCAGCAATGTGTTTTCAGCAAAGTTTTTAAGTTATGTTTTGCGGTTGAATGAAAAGAATATTTGACATTTTTAAGAATCACCTGTGCATGCCGAAGTATTTTGAGCAACCACATATTAACAGAACGATAATTTATGCATTTTTAAATGTCTAACCAAATTAAAAAGTCTTTCCCATTTTATTTGAAGAAATTATGCAAAAGATTTGGTGCCGCCCCCGGGTGGACTCGAACCACCAACCTTTCGGTTAACAGCCGAACGCGCTAACCGATTGCGCCACGGAGGCTGTTGAGCGCTTCGTGTCTAATCTCACTTTCATACAAAGTGACAGAATTTCTTATTAAAATTTTGACATTAGCATTGTGTTTTTTTTTGTGCTAGGTTCAAGTACATTAAAATTCACCCGGCACACATGGCCTCCGTGGCGCAATCGGTTAGCGCGTTCGGCTGTTAACCGAAAGGTTGGTGGTTCGAGTCCACCCGGGGGCGGCTCAATTTTTTTATCTTTTTTTCCATTGTAAATGTTTTAGACTTCAGGGTTTACGTTAATTTTTCTTTGAACGCTTTTCGTTTTTCATTTTCTTTGTAAACAAAAAACAAATTTGTGGTGCCGCAGCTAATTATAAATAAGTAAGTAAATTTATGTTGTTTATTATAGCCCTGCACTTGACTTCTATAATCATGTTAATGTGCATTATTAGTTTATTTTTGTGTAGTAATTTATTTTATTATTGTGTTTTGTTAGATGAACAAGGGCATTTATTTTTTCCTCTTAAATTCATTCAGACATCTAAAAACAATGCGTGTGTTAAATTTAAGTTGAAGGTGTCGATGAACAAAGCTGAATAGGCACGGCAGCACCAATGCGAATGTGTCTACCAACATATAAACAAACAGAGACAAACCTTTTATGTATGTACGTGCATATATAGCCTATAATAGCACTCCAATCTACCTTTGCCTTATGTCTTTCACCTTCACTAGACAGCACACATTAGAGTACGACTTGCACGCAATTGAAGCTGAGCTTTTAATGCGTTCACCTCAAAATAGATCTTGAATTGTAGTTGTTCATTTGCTCGTAACTCAACAAAGGCTAAACGCAGCTATGTATTCAAAGCAATTTCCTCAAGCTGGGGCTGGGGAATCACTTATTAAGATAGCTTTATGATGTCTAATATAATTTTCTTTTTTTTCTTTTCATCTTGCAGATGACTTGCGGCATATCGTGTGTCGACAAGACGCTAAACAAATCGTTTTATCATCTGGGCATTTGCATAGCCAAACATCCGGGCTATTTTGTGATCATACCCGTGATGATAACGCTGCTCTGCATGACGGGGTGAGTTTTAAAGAAAACAAAAAGAAACGTAAAAACCTATTTTTTTATAGTTTGATTATATTTGATTTTCCATGATGTCTCCTTGTTATTTTATTATGCAGCTATCAGCAATTAAAGTACCAAATCGATCCCGAATATCTGTTTTCACCCATTAACGGCGAGGGTAAGGCCGAGCGTGCGCTTGTTGAGCAATATTTTAAAGTGAATTATACGCACCGCTTCAATGTGGGACGCATTACGAGGCCTGGTAAGTTGGAACAAAAATAACAACAACAACTAGTTTGTCTATATGCATGGGAGGGGCAACTAAAATTGTTGGCCATAATGGTAAACATTGGGCAAGTGAAATGGCTCGACGACACCCATTTAGTCATCCAATTAAAAATTGCAACACTTTTTGCGCTACACGACGACGACGCGTTGTCTCAGTTTCGGTTCCCCGAAATACACACGTTTCGCTAATATTACCCAGAAAGCAGTTTGCTTCTAACATTTGTTTCGCGCGCGCTGACTTTTTGAGTTCAAGACCTACCCTTTAAGAAAATCAGCGCTTAGAGATGAAATGTGTGGGCACCGTTTTATTAGGGTCTTGAACCGCGGCAGCGTTTCTACACGCTATTAACTACGCTAAATGGTTTATTAGCCTAGCCAGAGCCAACAACAATGGCCAACAAATGATGCAAAATTTGCCAAATGACATTGTGCCAGATAAGAAAACAAAAACAAAACACTTGAGACTGCAGTTAAATGTAAACACAATAAACTTGAAGATGTTTCCAAATCAAGACAATTTATTATTCATGGCAATTGAAAAATTAACTACATTTATTTCATTGTCTTGACTGCGCTCATTGTTTGTAACAAACACATATAATCTACACATTTATCGCATAAACTAAAACAAATGTATTTGTTTAGTGGAACATTTCGAAAATATATTCTATTATAAATTGACTCAATAATAAATTCCAAAAATACTTGCTAGCACTTTTAATGATATTAATACGCAAAACGCTAATCTCACTTATCTGCATAAGGATCTATATCTTTAAAATTAAATTAAAAAAGAAATAAAAACTGAATAGCTGGTTAAAAAAAGTACTTCCCATACCGGGAATCGAACCCGGGCCTTCTGGGTGAAAGCCAGATATCCTAGCCACTAGACCATATGGGAGGCTTGAGAAAACTGGGCAAAATGAACAAATTTTAGACATTGCTCGAATATGATAGAGCAAAACCTTTTAAAGAGCTATGAACCTATAAGTTAAAAATAGATTTAAAATTCTAATTATATATACTTAGTGCACCTGTAATAATTTAGACAAGGGTAACATCTGCTCTAGTTAATAAATATTGGGTTTGGCAAATAGTTAAGCTTTTAAATCCGATTTCTGTGAATCATGAATGTCTCTTAAGTATTCGCAGTAAAAAACATTAAAAAAACCTCATTAGTGGAATACAAAAGCCCAGCGCCCACACAAAAGCTGTTGGCGCACAAAGCGGGTCAACAATAAACGTGTAGTAAGTGTTCAGTTTGGTAAAAGTTATTTTGCAAAATATTAATTCGAAAAAAATTGGTTGCACAAATTGAAAAACGTGTGCACTATGCGAAATCGAAACATTAAAAGCAAACACAAACGACGTAAAAGTAAACAAACAAAAGAAAATCATCAAAAATAATGAGCACACAGCCAAGATTGCTGCTAATATTATAGCGCTGGACTATAAAATTAAAATTAGAGTGAGAGAGCGAGACGAAACTATTAAAAGCTACGCGCAGATTAGCAAATGATTCTTGCGAAATCTGCTGGCCGCATTCTGTGTAGAGCTGCACTCGATGTGCAACGAGGTCTTAAGCATTGAGCGCTCATATGAGTGGTAGATTTTGTTGCCAGAGTTCGACTTAACCACTCAATCACGCATTCATTAAACAGTTGTGAGTGTGCGTGTGTGGCTGTGTGCGTGTGCGTAGCATCATTGAACTTTGGTTTTGACAATCACAAATGCAGAAGAAGATGCACACAACAAGTCGAGCGAGTTGCTGCGGCCAGCCACAAGAGCTGCAGCAATAGCCCCAGTAACAGCAGCAGCAGCAGCAGCAACAACAGCAGTAAGCTGTTGCATTTGAAGCTAACTGTTTATGGGCATTATCTAGACCGCATTTAGACGGTTACGACCAGTTAGTTGCGCTTCGCTTGACTTGCACTTTTGGCCGTAGCAAATGTGTGTATTCCCAGACACGGAGGCGATTTCAAATGCTTAAAACCCAAACTGAGACCAATGCAAGCGCGCACGCTAGCCATGTTGCATGCGCCATGTGGCAAATAAATTGTGTAGCACTAGTGCAACCAACTTTCGCCCGTCTCGTGAAATTAAGTATATTATTTTTATGTAGCGCAACTAAAAGTTGCTTCCATTTTTCTTCAATTTTTTTTTTCATTTCTTTTCTTTGTTTTTGGCATTTTGGTTAAATGTTATATAAATTGATTGGCTCTATAAACATTTCCAAGGCGAATGCATAAAATCATAAATAACACGCTGAACTGCCTGCTCTGCTTTGTCGCCGCTGAAATGGCGCTCGGTCGTCGTTAGCAAACATCTCCCATATTGTCTAGTGGTTAGGATATCCGGCTCTCACCCGGAAGGCCCGGGTTCAATTCCCGGTATGGGAAAACGATTAAATTGTGTCATACTTTTTTTTTAGTTTTTATTTGCATTTTGTTTGAAGACTGTCATAGATATTTGACAATGAATTGCTAGGAAACTTAAGATATGTGTAATTAATGAATTGAAAATAAACTGAAATAGTGCGACTCATAGGCGAGGATAAATAAATATGAGACTTTCAGATTTGGAAAAATTTTCTGTTATTATAGTAAATTAGGTCAATCGAACTGAGACTATTTACGATCTGTTTCTGGCATAATAAGAGGTTTTAAGGAGGCCAATTTCCTGTGTAAGATTTGAGAGGCTTGTTAAAATATTGTTGCTCAGCTTGTGGTAGACTGTATCTGTATCTAGTAACTATGGTATCTTTATTGGTCATATTTTTATTCGGATAAAGAAAAAAAAGGTATATAATAACAATTGGGCACATTTTTTGTGGCAGAATTATCAGATGAATAGCTTTTGAAGTATTTTATGGAGGGAATCGCACAAATATAAATATTTATGAACGTTAGAACTTTTATTTCATAAAATGCATTTAAATTCAGAACATATTTCGCTATTTTGAAGCATCAGCTGAAACCAATTTAATTGATAATGAACTGAAATAACAGCAGCAACCTGTGTTGAAGCCACGTGTCTCTATATTCATATTATCATTTATATCTATTATTAGGGCAATATTCAAGGTGTGGTTCTAAAATTTTGATACAATTTTTACAAGTTCATTGATAAAAATGCGATCGGAACGCATGGACTAGCACGTTTCAGCCAGAGGTCAGGCAAACCTATTTCATTATAGTAGCCTTACGGACTAAGATATATTGATAAGCAGATAGATATCTCTATCTTGCAATTTATAACTATAATTAACGCAACGTGCAAAGTTTGGTTATGTGAAAATTTTCTTAGATTTCGTAGAAGTTCATTGACAAAAAGGCGATCGGAACGTGTGGACTGGCACGTTCCGTTCAGATGCCAGGCAAACACCTCTCTTAATAGTAGCTGTATAGGATTAGATATATTGCTAAAGCTGCATATATTATTCAGGTACATATATATATATATATATTTACATATATAGTGGACCTGCGACAAACACTGACGCAAGTGAACGCGGCTGCATTTGTTATGGCGCATTAAACACAAAACGATTTCAACAATACTCGAACAATGTGGAAGTGAATTATACGGACACACACGCGAAATAAGTAATAAAAACTGAAATGAAACTGATTCGAATTATTGTCACGTCGCCATACAATGAAGGCGCTGGCACTGAAGGAGGCCTAGCCCGAGCACATTGACACAAAAGCGGGTCAAACTTTGATTAAATCTATGATATAATTTATGAATCGTGGGAGATGTTTGATTTATTCATGTGATTTCCCACCAAATGTCAAATTTCAGTCTTGAAAGCTACTAAACGGGAGTGAAAAGACGGGCCATTGGCCAGGCGTCCAGATGGAGTTTAACTTGTGAATTCCATTAGAATTCCATCAAATATATTTTTACACCATAATAAATCATAGAATCCAATATATTTTTAATCCGAATCACAGTGCCTTAGAAACTTCAGACTGCTAAGCTCATAAATAAACAAAGTTAGCCGTTATTAATCTATTATCTTCTCTCAATTGCAGGTCGCTTTGGTCGTGTCATTGTAATACCCAAAGATGGCGACGAGAATATGCTGCGTCGCGAAATCTTTATGGAGCTGCGGCAATTGGATAATCTCATACAGAACGCGACGACCACATATGATGGCGATACATTCAGCTACAAGGATAACTGTGCACGCTGGGAGAATGAGTGCTTCGAGAATGATATCTTGAACTTGGATGCCTTAATGGATGATGTAATTAGAAATTTGTACTATAATCGAAATTCAACTAACTTGTGCTTCAATCTCTGCAGATCGAATCGGGTCAGCTAAATCTGACATTTCCGATTATGTTTAATCCTGTGACATGGGATGCTCACGCCTTTCCCGTATTCTTCGGTGGCACTAAACTAACAGAGGATAATTATATAATAAGTGTGCCAGCTATACAATTAGTTTACTTTGTCACTGCCGATACAAAGCGCCAAGATGCCAAGTAAGCGGATTCCCTTTATTCAAGGAAGAAAACACTCTAATATCTAATCTCTTCCGCTTAGGGGCGCTGAATGGGAGGAAACCTTCTTGAGGGTCGTGGGCAAAGCTGAAAATTCGGGCATGTTCAAACACATATCGGTATCCTATTTTGCTTCACGCACATTGGACCATGAGCTGGAGAAGAATACCAAGACGGTAGTGCCCTATTTTAGTTCCACCTTTCTGCTCATGGGTTTGTTCAGGTAACCAACTGCTGAGTCATGTCTAGAACTTATAATACTAAACGCTTACATGCATTCCTTTAGCATTATAACCTGCATGATGGGCGATGCGGTGCGCTCAAAGCCCTGGCTAGGCCTGATGGGCAACATCTCGGCTATAATGGCAACCCTGGCGGCCTTCGGCTTGGCTATGTACTGCGGCATCGAGTTCATAGGCATTAATCTGGCGGCACCTTTTCTGATGATTGGTAGGTGCTGAAAACTACACGAGTTCGATGTTTTTTATTAAATTTTGGTTTTCGTTTTAGGCATTGGCATTGATGACACCTTTGTGATGTTGGCGGGCTGGCGACGCACTCCCGCCAAGATGCCCGTGCATGAGCGCATGGGTCATATGATGTCCGAGGCAGCTGTTTCCATTACGATAACATCGGTTACAGACTTCATTTCGTTTTTGATCGGCATCATCAGTCCCTTCCGTTCGGTTAAGATCTTTTGCACCTACTCCGTTTTTGCTGTCTGCTTCACCTTCATGTGGCACATCACCTTTTTTGCCGCCTGCATGGCCATTTCGGGCTATAGGGAACGGAAGAATCTGCATGCCATATTTGGATGCAAAGTGAAGCCCATGTCGGTGGCCATTAAAGGTAAGTGAAGCAATTTTAAGGGGAAATTGGATTGTGGATAGATTTGAACTGCTTAGAGGTTTGGGATTATATTTAGATACCTGGTTCTTGTGTGTTTTTGATATTCGTGTGTGTGAAAGCACCTTGCTCCTTTTGGGGAGAAAGGAATTCAAGTGCACTTAGCCCTATGGAACAGATTGTGATGTACAAACTCCTCCCTATCTTCCAAGCAGGAAATATTACTACGTAAAGTTAAAAGGAAAGGTTTGTTGACAAGCTCTTACAAATGTTTTCCGCATAAGAGGAGATAAATGGTCTACAAAGACTTAAGCTGTTTAAGATTAGCTGATTTGGATTCAATCAGACGCACATCTTCTAGATCGGTTTTGTATATTTCTGGCTACGTTCCTCTCGGATTTTTTCATGATTTGGATCAGGAGACTATTTTTTGTTTCTATATCATGCACACAATTGGTGAAGCAGCTTCGTTCTTGATCTTTCATCAGCATGAAATTAAGCACTTAAGTGTGCGCATAATGATGACAAAAGTTAGTTGGACATTAGTTGGCCAGTTGGCTATGACAAGGTCCACTTGTTGCCAGTTACTTGGCCCGCACAACCGGCTCAGAGCCAAGCCTATTATCTAGCATTAAATTCGTTTAGACGCCCGACTAGCAGCTGCAACATGAACTTGATCATGAGAAACAAACTAGACTAGTCTCAGCCAAGAAGAACGCCGATAGCAATCCGTGGAATTGGTGTCAATGGCAACTGGACTTAAGCTGCTTTTTCAATTTTTATAGAGAAACGAAACTTCCTCTACAAGGCGATTATGGCTGGCGGCATTGATCACAACGATCCGGATAATCCCATCGATAACAAGGATCACATGTTGATGGCCTTCTTCAAAGACAAGCTGGCAGCGGTAATCAACAACAAATGGTGCAAGATAATTATCATATTGGCCTTTGCCACTTATCTGGCTGGAGCTTGCTACGGTGTTACCCAGATAAAGGAGGGCTTGGAACGTCGCAAATTGTCACGCGAGGATTCGTATTCGGTGGAGTTTTTCGATCGTGAGGATGATTATTATCGCGAATTCCCCTACAGAATGCAGGTGAGTTTTCTTCTTAAGACTTACGCTTATCAAATATTTTACTTATTAATGGCTTGCAGGTTATTATTGCGGGTCCCTTGAACTACTCTGATCCCCTTGTGCAGGAACAAATGGAGAATCTGACAAGCACTTTGGAGCACACCTCATATGTAACCTCTTCTTTGTACACCGAATCTTGGTTGCGCTCATTTCTTTCCTTCTTGGATCGCAATAACGATTATCTGAATGAGACCATTGATGATGAGGAATCGTTTATTGATGCGGTCAAGGAGCACTGGCTATTCCCCGGCAATCCCTTCTCATTGGACGTGCGCCTAAATGAGGACGAGACACAGATTATCGCCTCGAGATTCCTTATACAGGCTGTCAATATTACGGATACCAATCATGAGAAGGAAATGGTGCGCGATTTGCGACAAATCTGCAAGGACTCGCCGCTAAACGCATCCATCTTCCATCCCTACTTTGTGTTCTTCGATCAATTTGAACTGGTCCGACCCGTTTCACTGCAGGCCATGGTCATTGGCGCAATCATCATGATGATCATCTCGTTTATATTTATACCCAACATCCTCTGCTCATTGTGGGTGGCCTTTTCGGTTATATCGATTGAGCTGGGCGTTGCGGGCTATATGGCTTTGTGGGACGTCAATCTGGACTCGATATCTATGATCAATCTGATCATGTGCATTGGCTTTTCGGTGGACTTTACCGCTCATATTTGTTATACCTACATGTCATCCAAGAAACGCAGTCCCAAGGCGCGCGTCCGTGAGGCTCTCCACTCGCTTGGACTGCCCATTGTGCAGGGTTCCAGCTCAACGATTTTGGGCATTATAGCACTATTGCTGGCACAGAGTTATATATTTTTGGTGTTCTTCAAAATGGTCTTTCTGGTCATCTTCTTTGGCGCCATGCACGGATTGTTCCTATTGCCGGTGCTGCTGTCGCTATTCGGACCCGGCTCTTGGCTGACCTGGACGGGTCGTGACGATGGCTCCGACGAGGAGGTGGACGGCAGTCTGGATGATATGAAGCTGGGACATGTGATGGAGAAACCATTTGCGCAGTCCTATTACATGCAGTATCCCAGCATGGGCATAAATGGACCCTATGCCTATGGCTCCAAGGCTTCCCTGGGTGCGCCCTACAAGGCCTATGGAGGCGATGAGAAGGATCAGGGCTTGGGCACCTCAGGCGAGGACTCCTCCGAGAGCAGCTCCAGTCGCTCGCAGCGACGCCAGCAGCTGGCTTCCACTGCCGTTGCCGTACCAGAGGAAGATCCTGTCCAGACGCGCGGCGCCCGCTACGAGAAGGGCTGGCGTCATTCCAGCTACCAGAACATATATGGCAATGGCGGCGGCATCGCACAGTTCCAGCCGCAGCCCGATCTCTATGGCCAGCAGGTGTCCGCCGCCGAGTGGCGTCAGCGTCTTGACGCGCACGAGCAGCAGCATCAGCGGAACAAGCAAAAGCGCAATCCCTACGATAACTATGATGACCGGGATATGCAGCGCGCGCGTCGCAACTCCCACGGCGATGTCATCGATCTGCATACGCCCACGCCCACCTCATCGCTGGACGAGCGCATGCGGCGACAGTATCAGCTGCAGCAGCAGGCGCTAAGCGCCGGCAGCGGCGACGACAGCAGCAGCTATCGACATCAGCCGGAGCTGAGTGCGCCACCGCTGGCCAGTAGCTCCGCAAAGCGCTACCATCGCCGTCGCTCCTCGGAGGACTCGACGCGGTATCATCAGCGCTGGCCGGCGAACATTGAGGAGCGTCGTGCGCGACGCGCCCATTCGCCCAGTCAGCGACACTCGCAATCGCATTCCTATACAGAGACTGCCGCCATTGCCGCCAGCTTCGCCCATCGCTCGTCCTCGCATCACAATCTCTTCCAGCCGAGCAGCAAGGCGATGCACCAGCCGCCCACATATCAATATGGAGATTACTAACATTTTTGGTAAATGCAGCGGGAAGTCACTTGAGATTTAGCTTCCTAACTTTAAACAAAAAAAAAATTTAAAAAAAAAAAACAAACGTAATTAAGCATAGTTTAAACAATTTGCCTGGCGATCCATAAATAATTGCATATATTTATATGAAGCTCATTCGCTTTTTATTTTCAACGAGTTTTCAGAACAAATACTTCGTTTATGTTATGTGTTATCTAGAATTTCAAGAAATTCTTTTAGCATTATATCAGAATTTCTTAAAATTCGGCGTGCCCTTACAACTAATTTAATAAACGCCGCGATCTGGCAACACTAAATGTATTTGTGGGTTGCATTAAGTTGGCTGCGCCTGAATAAGAGCTCGAATTTATAGTCAATTTTCGTGTCTGCAGTGTTTGAATTTATGTGTTTGAACAGATTTTGTGTACGCATAGCATAAACGCAGTTAACAAATGTAATGCCCCATGTTTGGCTTGCCCTACCAAGAAATTGTCCAGATATTAATATAACGTTGATATTAACATCAAAAGAAAAATACAAGTTGTAGGAAAATATTCATACTTTCGCTAATTCATCCTCTTATGATATACAGCATTACATATTTTTTCATTTATGCAAGTTTGGTATATTTATATTCACTTGGGTTTCTCTTTCTTGTTCTACTGATAGTGAAACATTTTGCATTTTATTTATGTTAGACCGATTTCGACAAGCCTTATAAACTATGTATATACTATATATCTATACAAGCATTTCATGAAAAGCAACACAGTCACATAACTTAAGTTCCCACATTATATAAATATGTTACATTTAGTTTTTATTGCAACATATTTCAGTCAGATTTAGGGTTCCATTATCAGAATTGTATTTAAATTAATTTAACTAGAGCCAAGTGTGAGACCAGATTTGATGAAATATTTGTATAGAGCTGGTAACAAATACTAATAGCTATAAATAAACTGAATAAATATATTTAACTACTTACTGTAAGTGCTGCACACTCCCATACTAAATCGAGACTAGACCAAAAACTCGACACATGTGAGGTCTTTAGCATTTCTTAAGTAATTTTTTTCTTGAAGGGACACACGTTTGTAAAGTGTTAACGATTTTTGCTATTGAATAAACATTTTATATTTTCCTAGAAACCAAGCATATAATATATTATTTATCTTTTGGCCACTAATTGCTTTCTAAGCGACTTTTGATGCCACCTTTGTCGCGTTTATATAAATAGCTGGAGACTGTAAAATCAGGTCGAGTTCTTAGCAAAATGTTTCGACTTCTGGTGCTCATTTGCTGTCTGCAGCTGTGGAGCTGTCAGAAAGCCACCGAGAAATACGTCGTTGCAAGTTTTGGCAAGGTGAGCACAGTTCAGAGATATCCGTATGAGTCAAGTATATTGAAATTCAAGTATTTTGCCAGGTCAATTGGTTTCAGGCACATCAAATATGCCACCGATCCGACATGATTCTAGCCACAGTCACCAGCTATGAGCAGCATGTGCAGGTGATTCGCAGCATAGCTCTCGATGGTAAAAAATAACTTTCTAAATTATATATAACCACTTCATTCCCATCATTCCAACTACTGTTCAGGTCATTTGCTGGGCTATGAAGGATTCTGGCTGGGCGCCAGCAATTTGGCGGATCTGAAATCGTGGACTTGGCTGGGCCTTGGTATACCCTTGGGCTATAAGAGATGGGCCAACGATGAGCCACAGTCGGATTTAATTGGCAAAGAGGGCTGCATGGTTTTGGGGCTGGACACGTCCTGGTACAGTGTGGACTGCCGCAGTGAATACTATTTCATATGCGAAAGACAATGCAACTCAACAAAATCCCTTGAGCCCTTGTACATATAAATCAAAAAGCAGCTCCTTATATTATAAATCAATTCGACTGCAAGGTAGTTGTTTAATTTTTGTAAAATATATGGACACAAAAAAATATAAAAATATGCGACACTAAAAGAATCTATTTCAACCCAATTAAATTTAAGGGTTGGTTTAAAAGCAAAACACTCATTGAAGAGCTGCTTTTGGGGTGTGTTTTATTTTTGTATATCATTAAAATTCACGTTTGCTTATTCTCGAATTCCAGATACATATTCACGCTTTAGTCACTCGTCTATCGCCAACGACCATACCACGCTGAATACATCGGTTCTCGTCCGATCACCGAAATTAAGCAGCGTCGGGCGCGGTTAGTACTTAGATGGGGGACCGCTTGGGAACACCGCGTGTTGTTGGCATCGGTTAATAACCTTTTTTTTATACATTTTTAGTAGCTACGGAGAATTTTTTATTCTTTGATTTTATCTGCTGAAATTAAATAAATATGTCTCAGCTTAAAAATATTATTGATTTAAATATTCTGCTTCAGCTTTTAGTTTATTTGTACATAGACATAGTTTATGTATATTATATGCTATTTTTATATAGAGATTATCGATCTAATGTTTCCTGACAAGCCTCGAACGTTTACTAATACAACGTACATATATATTTTTAGCCATATTTATGTTTTTTTCAGTCATACACATTTTCATGATAATACTGCACAATCAGCCTTTCGTTAGTACAATTGTAATGCGATGAAAGGTAATGTTATAATTTTAAAACTATTAATATTTACTAAAAATGAATGGCATAATAATTATATTCTCTGGATTATATCTTTGCATTCAATATTATACCCCGCATAAGAGCTACATAAATGCTGCTTTGCTACGTACGTATTTGTAGGGATTTTCTGTTATTATCTTTAGATGCAATAAAGATAGGCATTCATAACACAGTCGAATATAAAAATTCACAATAGCTTATTCCAAAATTCCAGATACATATTCACGCTTTAGTCACTCAACTATCGCCAACGACCATACCACGCTGAATACATCGGTTCTCGTCCGATCACCGAAATTAAGCAGCGTCGGGCGCGGTTAGTACTTAGATGGGGGACCGCTTGGGAACACCGCGTGTTGTTGGCATCGGTTAACAACCTTTTTTTGTAAATGAATTACAATTCTCTCTGATGATTTTTTTTAGACTCTATTTTTAATCTAAGTACAATAAACAAATTTCTTAGAAAATACAGTTGGATATAACAAAATTTAACAGGATTGTTTGAGCTCCAATGAGTTCAAACCATATATACTACATCATAATTTGTTTATTCGCCGTGTGTCCCTACTGTGTCCCTATTGTCTAAGAGATAGAAAGCCATGTTATTTTTGTGTTTGTGTAGCCTATTAATATAGCTCACAGCGTCATCTACTTATTTAATTTCTGACAAAGGGCATGTTTAGGTCTTTATGTATATCATAGTAGCTCATATACCAAGGTGCAACAATAGTTCTCATAGACTGTAACGACTTTTTCAAATAATAAATTTAAAATTAAAATAAACACAAAAAAAGAATTCTGATTGCAATTTGAACTTTTAATATATATGAAAATATTCCAACACATTTATGATGCAAGGGCTTTTATAAATAACAGCTCATTCGCAAGCAATTTCGCACAGGAAGTGGCGCCGTTCTCTGCAATCCTCAGCTGTCCAGTCGCCTGTGACTCCATTTAAGGTGACGCAACGATAGCCACCTCGTATCTGACCTTCGAAATTTCGATAGCCTAGTCGTGCTCCAGTGCTTTGCCATACATATTGATTGATATCGCCCAGGTTTGTGCCCGAGATCCATAGACGCTCGGTAGCAAGGTAAGTTATAAGGGAATCATCGGCGGCGTGTATAAAATTGATAATTCGGTCCTGAACTGTTTCCGATGGAATGCTGGCTAGCTTAAAGCCATTTGCAGCACAAATGAGCTGAGCCTCAAACCAGTCAAGCTAAAATGAAACAATAACCAGTTGTTGTTGCCATTGCTTATACTTAGCTTTTACCTTAGCGTATGTGCTCATTCCATATACGCTGTTATTATAGGAAAAAATGTTAAGGATGGGCTGTGGTGGCTCCTCATCCTCGAGCAATTGCTCAAAGTCATCTTCAGCCCATGCCGTGCTTGCAGTGCAGAGCAGCCAGAAAAGTCCGAGAACTATAGACTTCATTTTGTAAAGAGCCCAAAACTGTATTCCCTTTTATACAATTGGCCGATGTGAAAACTAATTGCCGAGTGCATCCATCATTGTCATTTGATAAGCTTAATATCTAATTATTTGATTATTTTGCCTAAGGGTCTTTTAAAGATATTTCATATAATCGAACATTTGCAAAATTTGAATAACCTGAAACTTGTTAAGGGCCCAAATCAGTTATAATATAATATATAATATTATACAATATATATTAATATATTTGATATGAATAATGTTAAATTAATTACATTTAGACGAGATATCTATGTCTTTTATCTGCCTGCAGTGAAAAGATAGTTCTTTATAAAATTCACCTTTGTAGATAGACTACCCTTGTAGACATTTGCCCAATGATTTTACATATATGTGAGAATAGTGAAGCTCGTAAATGCAGAGTTTGATGAAAACAGAATATTTTGCTTTATAAAATTCCACTATTCGATATGATATAGTTGTCCGATATTAATTAAAGCACAGTAAACCTAAAATATAACAAGTTTGTTCAAAATATCGTAATAAAAAAAGGTTTCCATATCAGAACCTACTTTTCAACCGATCGTTTCTATGGCAGCTATAATGCACACGATTTTGCATATATGTAGGGATCATAGTGAAGCTTGGTCAAGATATCGTGATAAACAAAGAAATTTTCCATACAAGACACTAATTATCGACTGATTGTTCCTATGACAGATCACTATAGCACTGTATCATAAGATATAGTTGTCCGATCTGGGTGGTTCCGACATATTCACGCATAGCAACAGACAGACGGACAGAAGGACATGGTTATATCAACTCGGCGGTTGATCTATAATATATATATATATACATATATTATGAAGTCGGACATGCGTTAGAAATGTTATGACCCAAATTTTAATACCTCTACAGAAGCAAAAGAGGAAAAAGTTGAATTATGAAATAAAAAACAATATGTACGACTGGGACTCGAACCCCCTTCAGCAACCAAAACAGTATATGTACGCTTAAGTCTCTGAGCTTTGGGTAGCTTTTAAAGCTTTACAAAAGCTTCAAGTGACGCGCATGAACACAGCTTGGCATGATAAAATAAACACATAGCTGGCGTTAAATGTTATATTTGTTTTCCTAATTAAAATAAAGATTTAGTTTTTATTGCAATCAGAAATTTTTATTAATATATATTATAGATATTTTGGAAGTATTTCATTAGCAACGTGGTTCGCACACAAAGTGACGCCTCGAACCGCAATCTTCAGAAATCCAGTAACCTGTAACAGAATGTAGGCCAGCGCATCTGTATGAATTAGGAGGTGGATATGGGAAATTCCGATACTTGAATGCGGAACCAGTGCTGAACCAGCTCCATCTATTAGTGTTGGCCAGATTTGTGCCGGAGGTCCAAACCGGTTCGTTGATAGATTTCAATTGGCCCGACTTGAGCATAAAGTTGTAAACACTGTTGTGCTTGGCTTGGGTCTCCAAACTAACCAAGGTCCAGCCCAGTGAAGCACAGGCGGCTTCAGCTTGGAACCAATTCAGCTAGAAATTTATTTATATTTCAGTTTTGTATTCTTATATCAACACACTTTTTGTTCACTCTTTTTACCTTCAAAGTTGTCGCTATAGCGAAGTCTTCCGTTTGATAAAAAATAGGCAACGGCTGCAATTGATTTGCTATACCTTCAGCTTGTAGCTCCAGCTCTTGAGCCCATGCCAGTTTGCACAGCAGGGAGCAGAGTAGACCGAGACCTAGGGACTTCATTTTGTGAGACGTGCAGTGCATTGTCTGCCCTTTTATAGAGCCAAACGTAGAGGTTGCAGCTAATTGCCTGGTGCATTCATCAATGTCATTTGATAAGCTTGAAATCTAAGTACTTTTGTCCCTTAAATTTGTTGCATTCGCTGCGGGGGTTTCAATTTTTAGTTATTTTTCCTTTTTCTCATGTCATTTGCCATAAATTTTGCTTACAGTAAATCTCAATTTTAAGCGTTGCGTAAATCCGTTTGCCATTTTTATGGCGAAAATTCAGCGCTAATAATGTTATCCCAGTGCTTTAGAGCAGGGGTGCCACGAAATTTATCGAAAAAATGTAAAAAGCATATCTCATTTAACTGTGCTGTCAGAGCAGCAGCAGAAAAGGAGAGACTGTGGGTGGAGGTGAAGAGGGGTGTTGTTATGACGGGTCAAGGATTGGCAATTGCCTTAGCTGGTGTATTAGGGTGCACCCTCTTTTGGCTCTAACTTTTCGCCCCCGCTCGATGTGCATTTCCTTTTCTACTCACATATATATTTTTTTTGCGTGCTGGCCAAAGTGTTTACGAGTCCCTTTGGGATTGGACAACAAGAACGAAATGTGCAAGCACAGATCGCTGCGCTTTTTCCCTTTCGAGGGTTCCAACAAGATATAAAATCAAAAATTGCTGCTGGTGCTGCAACTGCGTGCGTGTGTGCGTGCTGTACGGGGCGTACGGGGCGTATGGATAATATGATTTCTGTTTCTTTGAATGGCATGCCATTTGCATTTGGCAAGACAGCATAAAAGTTACTTGCTCGACTATTTGTTTACAAGGTCTTGCCAGCGGGCAAGTGTTTCGGTAAAGTTTGCAAACTTAAAAGCTATAATCCTTAACTCTTATATATTTCATATTTAAAGTATAGCTAGAAAATATTTTGGTAAATATCTTTTGTCAAAATTGTTGACCTTACAAGCAATTAAAGAAATAAAATAATTTAAATAAAAAGTTCTAGAACAGTTATAAAAAACTTAGAAGTAAAAAAGACTAAGAAATATGTGTAAAATGTTTGTAATTAATTGTATAAAAACAATGTTCCGACTAGGGGATACTACTTATAATATTCTATTCATAAACATAAAATATTATATTCATAAATATTCTATATTTTATTCATAAATATTTTATATTCTTTTAATGAAAAACTTTATCATATCGCGTATTATTAAACACATTGATCTACATTGGTAATGCCTGAGACTTCTATTTTTAAATAAACAAATCTATGTTCTTAAAAATTTGGTAAAAGCTGTCTATAGTAAAGAAGGCGATAATTTGGCAGCGTTCCACACATCGGTCCTGTGGCGCAATGGATAACGCGTCTGACTACGGATCAGAAGATTCCAGGTTCGACTCCTGGCAGGATCGTTAATTTTTTCTTTTCATTACATCATTCAAAAATCTTTTATAAATTAATTACTTAACTATTTCGTTAGTATTATTAAATTTGACTGAAATACGTAAGGGAAAAATAAAAAATTATATTTCGCCCAACGTGGGGCTCGAACCCACGACCCTGAGATTAAGAGTCTCATGCTCTACCGACTGAGCTAGCCGGGCAATTGGCGCAAAGATCACCAAATATATTGAAGGATTCACCCCAGAAAGTAAGTAAAAACTAAGAAAAAAATAAATAAAAGAATAAAAAGAAAAATATTTATATATAAATAGAACAGAGTTCCGTATAAAATTTAAGAATCTGTATGTGTATATGTATAGTAAATTATGTTTTTTCCCTCACTTGCAGCACAAATTAAGCGTGGCTGTGCGCTCTTGTTGAATGTGCGCAATTAGATTGTAAAACTTGTTGACAAGATGACATGATCTATTAGCTTTGGTTATTTGTCTTTGGCGTTGGGTGCAGGAAAAATTGCAATTAAATTGGCTACTGCAGCAGGAAACTGAGAGCAAAGTACGCGAACGACAGCATCAACAAAGACAACAGCAACAGGGACGGCTGGGTTAAAAGGGGAACTAAAACTGACAACAAAAGTCACGCAGAATAAATGCGCCATGCGTCCGGGGGCTCGGGCTCGGACGAGGTCTCTAAGGCTAAGGGCCAATGGCTGCTGTTGCTGCTGGTTGCACTTAATTTATGCGAAACTTGGGTTGGGCCAGCAGAAGTTGTGGCTGTTGGTGTCATTCTGCCTGGTGGCCATTTTCACAGCACGTTAAACGAAGGTCGTGAATGGCTAAGCCAATGCTTAGCTCTCATTTTATAGCGTGGAAATTCATCTTATGCTCCCAATTGGTTCTGGCCCCAGCAATGCTTAATACAGTTTATGCCATTTGTTTCGTGCCCCTAGTTAGCCTTGCCGCACAAGGCTGCAAAGAATTACAAATGTTGCCCCACGAGCTGGTGCACAAAGCTTTTACAAATTGCCCGCCAGGATTTTTTCCGCGGAAAAATCAAAATAAGTTGTAAGGAAACTGATAACAATTCGTGTTGAATTAATTTAATTAATTAATTTAAAAACAAAAATAAGAAAAAAGTTTTAAGAACCGATGCCAACAACACGCGGTGTTCCCAAGCGGTCCCCCATCTAAGTACTAACCGCGCCCGACGCTGCTTAATTTCGGTGATCGGACGAGAACCGATGTATTCAGCGTGGTATGGTCGTTGGCGGTAGACGTGTGACTAAAGCGTGAATATGTATCTGGAATTAGAGAAATGGCAATTGTTAATTTTGGATATTCGACAATGTTAGCAAATGCTTTACTTTTTTAAAGAGTTTATTCAATATAAAGTATTATATTAGGTGTGATAACTACCTTACTTTTAATCGAAGAATTAATTGAATAGCATTAAAAGCAGGTCAAATTTGTATTCCCATCAAAATATAAATTTAATAATTTCATTGAAAAGCATTTCTCAGTAGCTCCAGCTTACGTCCCTTTTGCTTAAGCAATCGCCACTCATTTAGTTTGCATTACTAAAATCCCGACCCTGCGTTCACTTCCAGAGAAGTTACTTACTTTGCCAAATCAGGGCAACAAAATCCAATGTTTCATTAAGATTTTATCGCACTTTTATGTTATTATTTTTTTTGTGTTCTTAGTCAATGTCCCGTCAAAGCTGGAGACATTAGCGTGGCTCGCCCTCCGTTTAATTAACAAATTCTTGATGTAGCACAAGGTTCTGGGGTAAAGTTTCCAGCTAATTAGAATAATGCTGTCCTACCCCCCCCCCCCCTCCCCATCCCCCCACACCACACATACTGCACTCCTCCCCCTTGCCTTAGTTTACCCGAAAACGATGCAATTTGCGTGTTTATTAATTTTATGTCAATTTGCATGCAATTTCTGCTCAAGGCGAAGCTTTATCTGAGTTTCAGTCGCAGTTTTGCTTTTATGATGGCTAATCTAGCGGAATGAAATGCACTGTGCACAGTGGGGCTAATTAAAACTAATGGCCAGCCGTCCAGTTATGCGCATTTTGCTGCAGGTGCCGCATCCGCACCCAAAAACTTACTACAACAACTTTAAGTAGCTATCGTTGAGTGGATTTTGTTGTTCGATGGCTTTGCCAATGCAATTCAATAAAAATGAATAAGTCCAAAGATGCGTGAAGGTAACAAAAGTTAGATACTAAATAGACAGAATCGCTACAGGCATCGACTAGGAGTTACCTTTTAGCCGGGCTATAGTATACTGGAAGACTTGGTCGTACTCCAATAAGGCAGTCAAATAATAAATTAAATTAAATATAAATACATAAATATAAATAAATAAATAAATACTTAAATGTAAATAAATATAAAAAAAAATAAATATATTAATAAATAAAAATTGGTAAATTTCAGTAGAAATAAAGATAAAAGTATACCCAATTTTTGAAATTTATATTTTATATACATTTTTTTCTACTATTTTATTTATTCTACTTAAAAAATTGTAATGGAATAGAATACAAATTTACGAAAAGTTAAAAAGTTTATTATGCTTTATCCTGTTTAAATTTTTTAAAGAAATAGAATACAAATGAAACAAGTAAGAGGTTCTAGTCGGGAGCTCCCGACTAGGGGATACCCTGAACCCTCTTCTTCCAGCATCAAATGCATATATATATTCTATTTTAGGAGCTATCTGTCAAGTTTGGTGACTCTAGCTCTTATTATTGACCAAAATTGCCCACAAAACAGGACATCGATATCGATTTTTATCGATTGCTTGAAGAATATATATACTTTATGGGGTCGGAGATGCTTCCTTCTGCCTGTTACATACATTTGGCTTTCGCACAAAAAATTAAATTATGCAAATTATAAAGAAAATTCACACATTTAAAATGCTAACTGTTAACATAAGTTAACATTTTATTTTCTTTTCGGAATAAATTCCCGCTGTCAAAAAGAATATTTACTTCATATACTTTCGAACCTCCGCACAAGTATATCATGCCCCTTTTATAGCTTGCCATTGCTAATGGGTATCAATATCGCGTGCGACTTACGCGCAGTTTTCAATAGCACATGGGGAGAATAAGTTGAATCGGGAAATGTATTTCGTATTTGGTATTTGGTTTCTGCAGTTGCGGCCCTTTCGCCCGACAAGGTCAGTGCAAAGTCATTGCAAGCTGTTGCGTACGCTTGAGTTGCAGCTCCTCCCCAGTACCCCAACCGCCCAACCACACCCCCCGTGAAAACAAGTCAACTGTAAATTGGCTTAAATGCAGTATATCATTTAATTTTATGTCATTTCGCATTTTTTCACGTTGATTTTGATGTCGTTACGAAACTTGCAAAATGCACAAGGCAAATATTGTACAAAAATAAAAAGGTAAGATCTAAAGAACGAATTGGGGAAAACTAAAGGAAAAGAAGTTTAGTTTACAAAACAGTCTAAGCTTGAAAAGTTTTTCAAATCGAGAATTGGTTTTTATTTGAAAAAGTGTAGAATATACAAACAAATTTAAGAGTAGAGATTAATTTAATAATTAATTTTAGTTAATATTTTGGAAAACAGTTT